TGGACACCGCTCTCATTAACATACAAGTGTAAATTGCATTGAATGAAAATCTTGGTAAATTGGAAAATTTTGTGATCCAAGTCTGATAGCAAGTCGCAAATACAAAGTCCGATGATGCTAGCTCCGATATTTTTATAGCTTTATTGGGACTAATTATAATGCGTTGATATAGATTTGCTCTCATTGAGCATTTCAAAACAGAAAACATTATGTTTCTAGTTCTATGCATGTCAAACACTATTCAAATGTGATATAAACAACAAAATTATTTTGTCTTTTCCTCTTGAGAGGTGTTACCCCCCCCCCCAAGTGTTAATCATCTTGACAATAATACATCACACTAAAATGTTAAACACATAGTATTGAATTTATGGATAAACAAGCAGCCTATCGGCTGAGATAGCTCAGCTGTTAGCACTGCACATTTCAATTAAAGAACAGAAGAAATCATTAGAAAATGAACAATATGCATAGTATCAATGCAATTGGACTTACAGTTTTTAACAAGACGACGAAAATATCACTTTTTACCACAAATGACAAAAATATTCACCAAAATTAGAGAATTAAAGATATCATTACAAAATGAACAAATCTGAGAGCGGTCCACATGTAGTACCTATATAGGTAATATCAAAGCAATTGGACTTGCGGTTTTTAACAAGAAGTCAAAAATATCACTTTTTACGAAAAATGACAAAAATATTCACCAAAATCAGAGAATTAAAGATATCATTACAAAATGAACAAATCTGAGAGAGGTCCATATATAGTACCTATATATGTGATACGAAAGCTATTGGACTTGCGGTTTTTAACAAGAAGACGAAAATATCACTTTTTACCAAAAATATTCACCAAAATTAGAGAATTGAAGATATGATCATGAAATGAACAAATCTGAGAGAGGTCTACCCAAGGTACATATACACCAAGTATCAAAGCATTTAGGCTTGTAGTTTTCAAGAAGAAGTCGAAAAAGTAAAACATTGACACGGACGACGGGCAATCACTCATATGATAAGCTCCGCTCGACAGAGTCGACAGCGGAGCTAAAAAACTGATGACACTGTTATGCTGATGATAATCTTTATTTCACACATACTCTCAAAGTTGTGTTCATTATTATAAAAATATAATGAAAGGATTTAAAGTCTGTCTAAAATCAAAAACTGATTACAGTAGCATGTACTAGTTTAAAAAAAAAAACATCACGTTTCACCACATTAGCAATTTGCTTAGAACTACAATAAAGTATCACTGGACTGAATTGCCATTTCCATGATCTACTAGACTCCTTAGGTTGGTTGAAATAATTCCAGTAGCAAGATAATTAAGACACATTGTGATGGATATGGGTCCCATGCCATGTATAGAACACATGTATATTTCTTTGTTTTCATGAAATTTGAACACACACTGCACAATGACCACCACACCCTTAAAGAGATGTCACAAAATAGTGACTCGTGAGAACATTTCTTGACTGCAGCTTTTCTTAAAGGCTGTTGGTCACAGTGCTGCATTGTGTTTGACATAGGACCCATAGCGAAATATACAATGTATCTAAAATCTAATACACACACTCACTGCAGGACAACCACTGCCCTTATTACAGTGTAATAATGGTGTCACATAATCTCTGTGTCAAGTCTGCTCAAAAATGAGAACTCATTCTCAATACAAATGTGTAAAATCTGAAGCAATTGTAAAGTTGTAACTATATCTAAACCATTCAATAACTTGCAAATAATTCTACATTAATGCTACTACATAAAAATACAGACTGATTGGTGCATTGGAATGCTGGAAACTTCATTTGGTCTGGAATAAGGTTTAGATTAGTTGATTTTAAAGTATATGAAAATTACAATTGAAAAAAATAGTCTTAATAACTTACCATTTCTTCATCAAAAATTAAACTGTTAGCCGATTAAGTTTGATATCTGCATTAAAAATGTACTATCGGTACCATGAAAAGTTGTAAACAAATTTTACAGAAAATAAAATTGAAATATTTCTAGTTAATTTTTCTACAAATTATAATCCATACAAAATTACATTTTTCCATTAAGCAGAATAAAAATTAACTTTCTGAGGAATAAAGTCATACATGATATAAAAATAAGACCCTGACATGTGACATAGTAATTTAAAATTGATAAACTGCTCAAATATTTCAGTTGTCAATATTGCACCCTGATCAAGTTACTATGGAAACAAACAAGCAGCATGAAAAGTACTGTTAAACTAAGTTTATGCAAATTAAGTTTAGTTCTGGCTACAAAATAAACGTCAACAGTGCATAGTTACATGGCAAAGTGAGTTACAATACCAGTTTTGATTGAAAAGCATAAAAATAAGTTAATCAGTAACTGTTTATAACATTAAACTGTCAGTTTTCCAACCAATTTATTCTTTTCAAGGTTGGTCATAGAAAAAATAGCAAGAATTGTGATAATTTACAAACAGTACATTAATATAAAGAAAATTTGAAAGGAAAAATACTGACCAAAATTTGGCAAGTTGTAAAGCAAATACATGTAGTTTATTTTTCCTTCATACACCTAACAAAACAGGAAAAATACTAGCTAAGATTGTTTGAGCTATTATGACCCCAAAACAGAACATTTATTTATTTCAGTTTAAAAAAACGATTGAATTAAAATTGATATTGAAGGCACAAAAGAACAAATGTTTCTTTCCTCATCCCAAGTCATTGATTTTGTCAACCATGTGAATTTCTGACAACAAATGATGCCCATTTATCAGCTCTAGCTCACAATCTACTTTGATAACATTGCCCTAAGTTGTTTTTATTAATAGCATCAACAAATAATATTATTTTAAATGAAAGGTTACCAATTGCTAAACAGTCACTACACATACACA